AGCAGTCCCAACTCAACTCTTTCTCACCCCTGTGACATAGGTACTAATAATATCCCCCATTTTACAGGTAAAACACTGAGGCACAAAGAGGCTATTTAAGGTTACCCAAGGACACATTGCTGGTCAGTGAGAAAGGCTGTATTTGACCCGAAGCAGACAGGTCCCAGAGTCTGTGCCCTAATCACCAGGCCACACTGGCGCTCTGTGATTAAAAGTGAGATGATCCTCGTTCCTGCTACGTACACAATGCTCTTTCCTGTCCTGTTCAGCATTTATATCCAGTGTTGGGCTAGAATTGAATGTCTTTCTCTACAAAGACTAAATCTAGAACGTCAAGCATGGAATATAAACTATCCAAAATTCCTAAGAAGTATAAAATATTTTTAAAAATATTTTGGAAACTTAATTTTTATGAAAATATGTTGCTGTAACTAGCATACTTAAAACACATTAGGATTTAACATTCCTATCATAAGGAAAGTGTCTTTGAATATAAGAAAAATCCTTGGCAATTTGAATATTATATGGTGGTAAATTATACCATAATTATTTCAAAGGTCAAGAATCTTAAACATTTCGTCTTAACACTCTCCACCTGAGCGATGCAATCAGAAAATTAAGTATGTATGGAAATACGGAAATATTTAATTATACAAAACAAGTGGAAGCCTACTCATTTAATAACCTTTAAATAAAATGTGGAATATTTTGCCGCATGGCTATTTTTTTCCCTCTGTTGCAAAAATGGAACTTTGTAAAAGAACATATGTTAGTGAATATGAACACACATTTTATTTTTAAGTGCTTGTTTCAAGGAAGAATAGGATAAAGTGGTTTGGAACAAAGCACTTTATCACATATCGGCTCACAAGAAACTCTATGAAGCTGATGCGCTAGGCACCTCTGCAAAGAATCCCCCCCACAAAAAAAAACTAACCCAGACTCAGCCCAGTCCTTCCAGGAATTCACAAACAAAACAAACAGCACAGATGTGAGAGCTGGTTCATAAAGTTTTGGTAAGAAGGCAAATATACACTAATAAGATCCCTGCCTGACCCACAGCTGTACCATTAACATCCAATGTGATATCGAAATAATCAGTAAATTATCTTTTTCTCAGAAAGCTTGAATAAGGCAGAATAGTAACGAGGTTAGAAGCATGAACTGTGGAAACAGGATTTCTGGATTTGAATCTCAGTTTTACCGTGCACCAGTTGACTTCAGCAGCTTCACTTAACTTTTCTGAGCCTCAGTTCACTCACATAAAATTAGGCAACTGGACATAATTCACAGCATTGTGCTGTTGGTAGGATTCAATGCGTTTACGAGAGAGAAGCACACAAAAACCCTTCTAACTCTATGCATCAACAGAAGGAGCCTGCTGATGCGCAGGCTGTCTGCTCTCAGGCCTTCCTGAGGTAACCCCCGGTGAAAAACATCCTGCAGCCTCTCAGCAAACCACAATCGGTCGCTAGTCAGGTCCCTACTGCTACATAAGCAGCAGTCTCACCTCTCAGCGGCGTTTTCCAAGCTTGGTCTGGAAGAGCACAGAGGCCCTTAGTGCTCTTAATCAAAACTATGAAATAGCAAAATAATTTCATTTCATTATTTGAACCAGGAAAAAAAAAACAAAACCTCTAGTTGCTGATATTGTTTTACGTGTAATACAAAAATCACAACCACAAACACCAGGTAGTACCCAGAAATAGCACACACTCTCACAGTAGTCATGGTTTGCTGCTTTGGAGGTTTTGAGCTTCTATCATTTGGCTACTTGTTTGCTCATTTGCTGTTGGAAGAGCAGATGATGAAGATTAAGGAAAAATGAGAAAAAGTAAACTGAGAAAATCCTCGTTGTAAGGTTTTAATGTCACCTCTCCAAAGCTCACGTGATTATATTAAGAAGCGGGACCTTTAAGAAAGAGGTGATTTCACCATGAGCAGTTCTCCCTCATGAATAAGAGTAAGACCCTACATAAAAGAGATTTGATACAGTCTTTGATCTCTTGTCCTTCTGCTTTCTGCCCTACACAACATCCGTCTCCTTCAAAGGATGATGCAATATGGCACCACCTTGGAAGCAGGGAGCAGTCCTCACCAGACAACTAAACCTGCCAACACCTTGATCTTCAGACTTGCCAGTCTCCAGAACACTGAGAAAATAAGTCTCTGCTCTTTATTGAGTGCCCAATGCCAAGTATTATGTTATAGCCACACAATGGACAAAGACTCCTGGCCATTATATCCCCCCATTGTTACTGTTTTTATAAAAATAATTTCTAACCAGTGTTATATGCATAACAAATCAAGCCTGTCCAAGGCCTACTGTTCTGACATAAAGACCTTCTGAAATTCAGGTGCAATTTCTATTCGCCAAAATGGTTTCTGCCACTGCCCTTTGCTATGTGGCCGGTTTTACGTCTCTCCTTAGCAAGGCATCACACAGAGCAGAACCTCTATAAGTTCACCATGAAGGGGCTGTAACAGACTGGTCAGCATACAGAGGTGGTCAACATAAGGAGCTAGGCCTACTGGACTGACACGTACATGTGGTGCATGCCCAGTCTATAAAAATTAGGTCAACTTAAGGATGTGGTCAAGGTAGGGAGGTGGTCAGCTATGACAGTCCTACCGTAGTTTATAGATCAAGGAACCTGTCCTCAGACTGAAGCAGCTTTGCTGTCAAAGGAGAATCACAGACTTTTGGAACTGAACTGAGTTTTTAAAATTATCTAATCCAAACTCTTCATTTTCTTAAAAAAGGAGGCCCACAGAAACCCAATTTCCCCAGCAAGCTGATAGCAGAGTTCAGAGTATTTTATTCCTTAAGTTTCCACCTATTAGTTTGGTAGGGTTTTTTAAATTTTTTTTTTATCCTAGCACATTGCCTGAGTATAAACTTAACTTCAAAACTGAAAGTCAGAACACAACCTTAGTGACAAAATTTACCAAGATATCTAACTTTGAGAAAAATATGGACAATGGAATTGTAAATTCAATTCAAGCAATCCAATCGGTTAAATTCTATCTGCAGCCTTAATGGAAAAGGTACAGATAGGACTTTGTACAATATATTTAGACAGTTTTTACTTATACTTCATACTTATCATGTCCCCAACCCAATCTAGAACATATTTTGGGGATAAAAGCAGATTAACAAGGGACTTCCCTTAACCAAACATTTGTGGTAGGCCACGTGGGGGGGGGTGTACGTGAGAGGGGGAGAAGAAGAGAGAGAGGAAGAAGGGAGAGAGGAAAAGGGAGAGAGGAAGAAGGGAGAGAGGAAGAAGGGAGAGAAGAAAAGGGAGAGAGGAAGAAGGGAGAGAGTAGGCAGAGGTGGAGAGGAATAGGTAGGGTAGAACGGTATTTCATTTATACACTGGTCATTTTCCTCCCCCTTCATGAGTTACTTATGAAGCTATGTTCTTACTTCAGAAATAAATTCAGACATGGTATTAAAACAACCCCAGATGAAAAATTTTATAACAATTCCATAAGCCCTTTCAAGTTGGACTGATCTGCAAATGTTACTATTCTTTAATACTAAAATGAGTAAATATCAAATGGAAAAATAAGAGGTTAGAGGTATAGTAAGGAAATTCAAATGTATAAAACAAGTAGATTTCAATTGCATTCAATTATTTCACCCAATCACCTAGAAGCAAAGATCCTCTAAAGAAAATTGCCTTGCCTTCCCAACTCCTTGGAGAGCCAGTTTAGTTAACAGCCTACCTATGCTTCAGAGGTGACCATGCAGCTTACATGTCAAACTCATTTTGAAGTGTCAATCAAGTCCCTTTCAATCTAATTAGCTTGGAAAGTAGTGTCACTGACCTAGAACTATGCAGACCACTTATTATCATATCATTTGATCAACCTACCACTTTACCTCAGTGGAGTCTGAGACACCTGTAGCCAAAATGTAATATCCTTTCTCCCGCTCATTACTGGTAACTCTCAATACAATTTCCTATTTACAACTCAATTTGTGTCTATGAATAAGCATGGCCAACTTCACAGAGGCCTTCCACGGAATTTCTCTTATTTAAGATTTCATGGCAAAAATAGGGTAAGGAAAGGGGAATAGCAAGGTACAAGTCCAGGGTCATATGTTGTTATATATATCTGATATACATGCATATATTCACATATGAATGTTATATATAACAGAGTCAAGCTTTCAGATGGCCAAGAACTGCTGGGGGGCGGGGGGAAGGGAAATAGCAGAGGATGAAGAATACACTGGGAAAAGTTTGGAACCTTAAATATGAGAGGATACTTTGCTTTTTGAACAAAGAAAAACTTTGTCAGATTCACAGCATTTAACTGACTTTAACCCGGCCAAGGGCAGGATGAGGTAGAACTGAAGAGGTGCTAACTAGGTCCCCAGAAGTCAGAGAGCACAGCCGAGTGACTCGGAGGCTGATGGCCAGACCACAGTCAGGCTGGAGTGGGCTGGTGGCAGTGTGGTGTCTGGAAGGCCCTTCTTAGTCAAGCCATAGAAATCAAGTAGCCTAGTCCCTGGCAAAAAACATGACCATTATCTAATCCTTTTCTCATCTCAGCTTTGCATATTTAAGAACTAATCTGCAAGGCAAAAAATATAAGCAGGTAATCTCATCTCTGAACTATAGAATAACACATTCCATCAGGGAGGGATAAAAATACACACACACGCACACACACACAACACTCACGTATGCCACCAAAATGCTGTATTCATATTTTTAAATGTAGCATTCAAAAAGAAGCGTAGCAGTGATATTTAAAGTAATGACTTCACTCTAGAAGACGGTACTCTAAATGCAGGGTGTCAGCTGCTAATGCTTCCTTTTCTATCCTGTGCCTTTCATTGGGGAAGTTAAGCTGCGTTTTACCAAAATTCCTGTTTGTCTGAGGGATAAGCAAGATTCTTCAATTACGTTTGCTTGATCAAATAATTACCAGTGAATATGATTTTACATCTGGTCAAATAAAATATGTATATATTTCCAACTTACCTTCAGGTGAAGACCCCGTCTTTTGGGAAAAGACAGCATTTACTTTGCTCTTTTTACTGATATCGGTGTTTACAGACAAGCTGGACTGAATTTTTCTATGCATTTTTTGAGACACAGGTGCTGAAACTTTGCGATTATCTGCGGAGACATGTTTGGCCCCGTGGTGAATTCCATTTCCATTGCTCAGACTTGTGTGGCCGTTCTTTATCTTGCCTGTTTCCTCGTCGCTCAGTTCCTGGGCTGAAGTCTGAAGCTGAGGCAAGCGCTGAGGTTGGGCTAAATCAACAAAAACAGAAAAAAAAATTATCCGGTTAAGAAGAAGAAATTAATACAGGTATTTTAAAATAATGAGAATACATTCAGCAACAGAGATTCAGGTTTTACCCAGGATATAAAAACCGAAGAGGCAACAAAGAAAGAAAAATGCTAACAAGCAAAGGCAAAGAAAAAAGTATAATTCCTAAAAGGGAAAATGGAAGTGGGGTCATCAGAGGTGACTTTACACAAGGATATAAAAAAATAGAGCAGAAAAATACTGGTTTGGGTAGTATGAAAGATTTAAGTAGGAAATCTATAAAAGTATTTTAACACTCATTCAGCAAACCTTCTTTGGCGTCTATGTGTTGGGCCCTTTTGGGGAACCACAGACACACTGTGTTATCACAATCCTACCATAAATAAACTGCTCACTTAGCTTTTGAAATAAAAGAAACAATGAACCCAGGTATTCAGAGCTGGACAATATGGAAAGAAAATTCACTGTTTCTTTTTATTCCATTCTAAATCTCAGAGAAGAAAATATTTCCTGTATTTATTCTTTGCTTTTAAAAGCAACCATGTATGAAAAGTTAGAAATACAAGAGAACTTTCTTTATCTAATACATAAATTTACCCCACTTAAGCCTCAGCACTTTGGAATTACTCCCAGTTGGGCCAGAACCAAGCACAGAATGGCCCACCTTCACCCCACGTGTGCGGCGTAAGTTACCCTGGAGTTCCTATGACAACGTTCTGTAAGGCAGAGAATTTTAATAGGTGTGAATTCTGGAAAGGAAGAAAGGAAATTTTTGAGAGGTACACAGACTTGAACATTCTAGGGATAATCTAAGAGACTATAATTTCTGAAAAACTAAGAATTTAGCACAAATTATACATAACATAAAATCAACAATGTTCCTCTATGCAAACAGTAACCAATTAACAAAAATACACAGAAATATTAACTCTTCCTTCACAATGGTCACAAATGGAAAAAACGAGCCAAAGAACAAAAAATCCTATAAGTATCTAGGCATTAAACTAGGAAAAAATGGGCAGAGATTTTATGAAAAAATTACCAAAAAACTACTGAAGGGCATACAAATATAAGTACATTAATTCTGCTAATATTGTAAATCTCTCTAATTTATTATTTAATTCTCATAACATTTCCTACAGGCTTGTTGATGGAACTTGACTAATTATTCTATAATTTATACGGAAGAGAAACACCAGGGAAATTTTAGGGAAGAAAAAGGGTTCTGGGGCTTACTAGGTATGAAACCTTAATAGAACATTAAAGAAACAAAGGCAGAATGGGTGTTGGAAGAGGTGAAGACAGATAAAGCAGTGAAACAGGAAAGTCCCAAATATGCAGATACATGCACAGGTGTATGCAGGTATATCTCATACGATCAATTCCAGGTATATTAAATGCTTATTTAGGAAAAGCAAGACTTGCTTAATTTAAAGTGAAAATACAGGAGACTATCTGCATAGCATGATATAAGGAAGGATTATAGCAAACAGAATCCTTCAGACAGTGAACCACAGAAAAAAGAAGGTGAATATTTATTTTTTGTATGCCCAGCATTTCTGAACACACTCACAAATTCTGGCAAATTCCCCGATCACATCCCCTAGACTACACTGCAGCTAGAGGGCAGGTATGCGACCCAAGTTCTGCCAAGTGGAATCACGGCTTGTGAGGTGGCGGGTGCAAGGTGGCAGCCACATCAGGGAAGTGGAGCCTCTCAGCACGGGCAGTGGAGCGGCATTTCTTGGTCTTGGCAGTGTGAGGCAGTTTCCTGTGTCCACTTCCCAGCAAAACAGTGGTTCAGTGGTGCAGCAGTGGTTTTCATCAGAGAAGCCCTACAGAGTGAATGGCTATGATCCTCGGCTGCATAATTCTGCTTTCCTGGAATTCCAAAGTCTAAACCTTCTGTTTGAAAAAGCTGTCTTTTCTGTCTATGATTATGATCACTTACAAAACGTCGATTAAATTACACGTGACCACTAAGAACTCTTCCATTTAGAAAACGTATCACATACAAATCTGTAACAATTATACACGCAGTTGACAAATGCCTATAAGGAACTGGTTTTCTGTAGTCTAAGAACTGGATAAGAGATGGTACATATTTTTTACAAAAGACAGTTGTATCTGAGTAAATCCATAGTATAGCAGTTTTTCCTTGAGTTCATATTCACACATGCTATGTACATGAGGAAAACATCTTTACATATTAAAACATTCTCTCAAGAATGTGCATAATTCAAGAAAGAGAACGTATTTGCATTTTGACTCAAAAAACCAAAGCCTGTTTTCATACACAGTTTGCTAATATTCATATCTGCTTTATAAAACTCAGGTTTGCAATGCGCATGGTTTTTCAGCTAAGCGATAAACAAAGAGGACTAACTGTCTAAGCAGTACAGATCTGGTGGGAAGCGAAAGGTGCCCTTTTCATAACTAAAATTGACAAAGCATCTACAAAAGAAGACCTTTTTCTTCTGGGTGCACACTCGTTTGATGTAGAGATTAATTTGCTGCTAGTAAAACTTCTTGTTTCCCCTGGAATGACATTCTAATGACTGCTATTGAACACAAAGGGAGTTATGCGTATGGATTGAAAAGGACGCCCCAAAAAGACAGTTAAACCTAATTTGGTGTTCTTTTCAGAGCACTTTTCAGTAATCTCACCAAATAAATGGAATGCTTTGCACCATTTTTTTCCTAAAAAGAATAATTCAAGCAGTCTGAGAGCTTCATTAAGTTGAAATGTCATTGACCGATGCTAGGAAGACTTCTGGTAAATCAGAACGTCCTATCATATTCCATAATCCAAAATAAATTTTAAATTAACTTTTAATAGTTAAACATTCTCAATAAACAAAAATAATGGTAGAAAAGGACAACTATATCCTGCCACCAAATTCCAAAATTGACAGGTTTGACCTTTTTCTACTCTCAAACTTGACTGTTTGCAAATGACTAGCTATGGCTGCAAGGATAGTCTAACACATCCTTAATGATCCACCTACATTTCAGTCTTCAAAATGACACCTATTTCTGGTGGCAGATAAATAATAGTACATTATTTTGTTTTATAGTCACCTGATTTTTTATGATAGCTTATATTATGGCCAGATAATCAAGTATTATCTCTTTATTCCAGTTTTTTTTTTACATTAAAACAATTTCTTAATTGAATGATTTTGCCAGAATGCATGTGGTGAGTCAAATCAGAACTGGATAAGCCAGGATGCATTAGTGATCTCAAGAGACATCAAATTTAACTTTGTTGATAATTTTTTATGGCTTTGACTTGAATCTTATGGTAAAAATCCAGTTAAAACCAAGCAGGAAATACGACTTTTTCCAAATAAAGAACAAAAATGCCTGACTGATTAAACCACAACTACTTGGATTTAAACAGATTTCTTTTCCTTATTGTGTAAAACTTGTGTACAGCTTTAACCAAAAAAAAAAAAAAAAAAAAGTACGCTAATATGGAAACGACACAATGCTTCTTAAAACACAAGTGATGCCTAGGGACCCTCGCTCTCCCTTTAATGATCCACTGCTCTCATTCAGCTGTCTTTCTTTTTTCAAATCTTTACATATGTGACAGCTCTCAAAAGTAGACCATGGACCATCTGGCATTTTCAGAGGTGTAACTTGTGCAAATTCAGCTCTATTGGGAGCACAGTGCTATCTTCTGCCTGCGTTATAAAAGGGACAATAGAATGTAGAACTTAGGAGTTGTTTTGAATTATTCATTTTTTTGCCTGTATATTCAAGAAATTTTACAAACTCTGCATTTTGTACTACATAATCACATGCATTAAAGGTACAAAGAAACTTTCTGACACCTCTTTTCTACAGAAAGCTGGCATTTTGTTTGATAGGTGAACATTCAGCATCTGTTATATCATTCTAAACAGGATGGGTGCTTCTACAAAAGACCCCATTTTAAATTTACTCTATACCAGCAAAAAAAAAAAAAAAGTATTCTTGATATTCAGTAACGAGTGCAATACACATCAAAATTTCAAATACCAGTTCTAAGAACATTCACTATCTTCAAACCTGGATAGCACTGGTCACCCGATTGCCATATGTGTAAAGAATTCTTTTTTTAAATCATTGCACACACAACGCAGCATGATTGTAATTTTAATATCCATGATGAATAGTTACAAATGTCTTAAGAATTACTGTGCTGTCTAGGTTCAAATGTTTTCAATGAGGAAGGAAACCAATAGAATTAGGTCTGGTGATTTTCAATAAGAATAATAAATATGGTGGTAAATGAGTCAATAGCATGAACTTCTTTTGGTAATTTTTTAAAAAAAACTAGGTGATATTGTAGCTGGTTATAACTATACTTGAAACTGCAGCTGCTGGAGTGGCAATATAAAGCTACATTTGTTAGAGCATATAATCTATTAACATGTGCCAATCATCTTTAATCATTGGTCTCTTTCCACAAGTCAAATTTAATAAAATTACAAAAAATTATCTCACCACTTAATTAAATTAATGATCTAAGCTTGCATCTTAAACAATACAAGTTGTTGTACACATAAAAAAAAAATCAAACTTAAATGCTCAGGATTTAAAGCTGCCAGTAACAAAATCATCCATATAGAGTATGAAGGGGACAATGGCTTTGGCCAAGGAGAGTTACAAAGTTTTTATGCTGCTCCACAGTCACTATAGGACAAGCACTCACACACAAGGATGGCAGAGACCGCATATACAAAATATCACATATAAAATATGATATATATTAATCTCCAACTACATACAATAACTTCAAAGGAAGAGAAAAAGTTACTTCAATATGCACCAATAGGATACAATTACATTACTTTTTTAATGCTAGATAATGTGAATTTAGGCTAATATAAATAAAAATAAATGTGTTCACCCTGCCCTTTTTCTAACTAAAATCTACAAAGCATCTACAAAAGATGAGTGGCTTGATCCAAGACTTTCTCAATGTAGAGAC